TTCTTCTGCCTCACCAAGTCTGTTATTAAGTTTTTCTACTGCATTTTTATTTGATCTATTGAATTCTTCATTTCTAATATTTCATATTGATTTCTCTTTAAATTCTCAATTATTTTTATTCATGCCATGTATGCATTTCTTTAATTCATGGATTTGCCTCTGATTGCTTCTGAGTAATCCTATGATTCATCTTTTGAATTCTGTTTCCAGTATTTCATTGATCTCTTCATCTTCACATTTTAATGCTGAAGTGTGGCTGTGTTCGTTTGGGGTTGTCTTCCTTATTCTTGCTTCTTGAATTTCTACATTTATTTTTAGGCATTTGTGGAGATCCTTATTGTTTTTTTTTTTTCCTCTGATGATTTAAGACTATGTCTCTCTGGCTTAATGGAGTGTGTATTCTTCCAGTGAATACTCAGAGGCATGTGCTAGGTGTGGCTAGGGAGTTCTGTTCAGTGATGCAGGGTGCAAGGAATACCCAGGGTTACACCCAAGTTGGGTGTGGTAGATCTTCTCTTCTCTCTCTCTTTTTTTTTTTTTTATCAGAAAGGAGTGTCTGATCAGCTCTGTTCACATAGTCGTACCCTCACCTCCTCTCTTTCATGCTGATTAACATCTGGGCACTAGCCCTAGTGGCTGCAATATTTATCTGTGCTGCCACAAGAAACAGAATTGATCCATGCAGTCCTCAGTATGACCACAGATCCCACTGCAATGACCCATCCCAGCAAATCAGTGAGCCTGAAGCATGTGGAGTGGCCCACAGTGACTGCCTGGAGACTCAGCCACACCCTGTAGCCACCCTCACAGCCCTAGTGTTCCCACAGTCCCAGTACACAAGGATCCCACAGTCATAGCGTATTGAGGATCCACTCCACATTGCCAGTCTATCTCATTCACAGAGGTGAATTCCAGAGAAACCTGTCTGTGGGTGCTCGATCTAGGCAGGTTGAACCTCAGAGCCTATGATTTGTTGGGAGGCTGGGGAAACTTCACAGTCCTACATGGGTGACCAGCCCCCTGTCAATCCTCCCATCCAGAATCAGGTGTCTCCTCTTGGCCAATTGCTAGGCTTTGGATATAAGCTGGAACAGCTGTTACATATGTCCAAAATGGCACTCACCCTTTCTCACAGGGATCCATTGTTGAGTGGACAGGGAGAGAAAAACATGTCCCTTTTTTTCTTTATGTTCGCAGGTACCCTGTCCTCCACAGGATTCCAGGCCAGACTCATGCCAGGCTCTCCCAGCAGCTGTATAGCCAGTAGCTCAGACTTCTGCAGTGAAGTCTCACCTCACTATGCAAAGCTGGCACTTAGATTCTCGGCTGCTGGGGTCCTGTGTTGTGTCTGTGTTCGTGCTACATTTCCACACCTTCCATTTAGGTCTACAGCATCCCTCTTCCATCCATCAATTTCCACTGCAGTTTTATGCCAAATTCTTCCCCAAACTTGTGCTTTCTAGATTTTTTTAAAACTATTTTTCCCTAGCCTAGAGCAATAAGCTCCCTACCTATTCTGCCATCTTTGCATCTTCTCATATATACCAAATTTTTAATGGAGGAACCTGTCCACTGGAAATGCCAATGCATGCCCAAGAAAAGCCTTCTATGTATTGCCAAATAGCAAGGAGAGTAGCAGCCCAACCACAGAAAATATTTTTATATGATAACCTCTCTAATCCAGACGAATTCCACTGTAACAACCATAGCCCCACCCTTGAATGTACTGGCAAAGGCAGATGGGGAACCATAGCATTCATCCTTAAGATGCTGTAATGTGGTATCCCAAAACCCCTACTAAATGGTGTCAGAGCAAGCCAAATGGACAGCCAAAACTTGCATTTCCACAGACGAACATTTCCTGCTGTAGTGTCTGGGGAGACCATTTACAGAGCAAGGACACACCGCCCGCCTACCCATCCAGCAGTTAATAAGGTACTCCTCCTCTTCCACACTAAGGTTAGGTAAGGAGAGATCATGGAAGTTTAGTAATTTCGGCATCACCAAAGGGTCATGAAAGCACACTAACTGCTCTGTCACTGGAGACTACATGAAAATGGGGACTCCCAACTCTAAGCAGTAGTAATAAGGAGCCCCATCCTCACTAAGGAGAGAACTGGGACTTGTACTTCCACCTGGCAGTAATGAGGCAACACCCTTCCTGCCCCCGGTGGAACAGGGTCAGAGAGAAAGTAGGTAACCAGGAGACTGAAACAAGATTCAGATTCTCAAAGCATCAGAAAATGTCCAGCTGTCAACAGAAAAGCCCTCAATGAAAGTACTGGAGGTACACTGTACTGAATAATAAATGATCAGCAGATGTCAACACCAAGATGGCAAATGAATTAGAAAGACACACTTGAGAATCTGATAAATCTGATGATGATATTAAAACATCTATCTAGGATTATTTGCTTCAATGAGCAATTACAAACATGGTTGGAACAAATGACAAAATAGTAAGGAATATGAACTCTCAGCCAGAAGTAAATACATACACACGTAAAGACAGAGTAAATGAAAATTTCAGAATTGAAAAATATAATAATCAACCTACAAAGTTCATGAATGGTCATGATAGGAAAATGGAGAGGAAGCATAAGGAACTAGCAACCTGGAAGACGGAAAAAAGATATAATTCAATCTGAACAAGAGTAAATAGTCTAATAAATGAACTGACCCCATGGACACAGGACTGGAAATCTGACCTAGCATTTGTGATACTGGAGATTTGGAAAGAGGAGAAAGAGAGTAAGCCTGAGAAAGTACCCAAAGAAAATAATACATAAAAATTTTCCTAATTTAACCAGAGAAATAAACATATGTTTTCAATAAACGGAACAAATCCCAGATGAAATTAAGCTGAAGAAATCCATACAAAGATACATCCAAATTAAACTACTGGTACTAAAGATAAAAAAATATATACTTGAAAACATAGAGACAAGTGATCCTTTACATACATGGGATAAAGCATTTAAATGATTACTTCTCGTTGAATGTCATGGAAGCTGCAAGGAAATGCTACAATATTTGTTAGGAGCTAAATAAATGGGCATCCTGCAATCCTATAATAGAGAAAATATACTACAGAAACTAAGGAGAAATCAAAGCATTCTAAGATGAATGGTGCTAAAAGAATTAATCACAGCAAAATAATGAATGAAAGAAAGTATTTAAGGAAAAACAAAACAATTAAAAACATAGTCTTGTAAATCAGGATGAACTAAAGGATAAATTAACCAAAAATGTACAATAACTTTTGTTTCTAATCTTGAGTTTATAAATTGTGTTTTATAGTAAAGCAAAATTAGTGTTATAATGTAACACTGGTTAATAAGATTATAAATCCATTTAGAAGAAAAAGTTAAGACAATTATAAACAGATGCAGGTAAGGGGAAGTAATGTCGTTACACATAACACAAAAACTTGTAAAATGATGATAGTAGACAGTAACTTCTATATGCTTACCATAATTTCTTAATAAAGAATATTTCTCATAAAGAAGTTATATAGAAAAATAGACTTAAAACAACCCTGAAAGCTCAACACAGAATTCTAAAAACTGTTCAAGTAAGAAACATAGCAGAGGAAAAACGAACAAAAAATAGAAAACAATAAAATATAGACTGAAGCCATAAAATATCCATAAATACACTAAGTATAAATCATCTAAGTATACCAGTGAAAGCAAAATAAAAAAGAATGGTTGACTAGGTTAAAATCTGTAAGCCAACTATTTGTTGACTATAATAAGCTTACTTCAAATATGATATAGACATGTTGGGTGGAAAAGGAATGAAAAAGATTTGTAACTTATTTAAGGCCATGGTAGTTTTCTGTTAGTGAAAACTATCCTCAGTGTTCATGAAGACTCTTAGACCATGAAATGGTTATAAAGCCAGGAGAAGCCTCCCACAAACTAAGATTTGCAGAGAGTCTTTGTTTTAGTCTCAGAAAATGAAAGTAATAACTTCAGAAAAAAGAGTCCAAACAGGCAGCACCATATAAGAAGAGTTCATTTTTTCCTTTTCAAAATGTGTTTGTGGAATGCTTGTTAGCATTATAAGTAAAGAGAGTAGTCAAAAAACTACAGAGCAATGTAGTACATAATGAAGACAAACAGCCAAACAGCCAAACAGCCACGACTTGCAAGACTGTTGATGGTATGGACCTATTCATCTGTTGTCAACTCATCATTGTTAGCTCAATGGAGAAGTTTTCTGTATGACTGCTCTTCCCAATCACAGGACATCAATTAGAGGCTCTCTGGGGTAAGCTGACAGCTAAACTGAACCCACAAAGTGTTTTTGTTGTTGTTGTTGTTTTGTGTTTTTTGTTGTTGTTGTTGTTTGGTTTTTTTGCTATGGCATTTTCCATTACCTGACTCTAGAGGCATTGCTCACTATTCTTAGATCAATGATCAGGTTACAAGACAAGGTTAAGCCATGAAACTCTTCTTCTATAGCCAGTCCCTGGTGAGCAGGACACATGGCTAACTATGGACATAGTTTTTTGTGGGGCAGACATCCAACAAATAAGTAGCCTGACTGACACTTTCTATATAAAGTTTTGTAAGCTGTTGGGAACTCTTTAATCAAGAATAAAGTCTCCCCCAAGCTTCAGTGTTGGCAAAAGGTCAGGCATGCCCAATAGCCCACTGCCCTTGCATCAAAGCTTATCAAAACTGAAGCAACAGGGAGTTCTCTATTCTGACCAGATTCACACATATAAAGGTCACCATCAACACAGAATTGTATCTTTAATTTCAGCTGAAAATTCTCAATAAATAAGGCACTTGTTCACAACCAGTATTTGACCTAAGTGTTTTGATTGTCCTTGGAAAAGTACATTTTGCAAAAAGTATGCTGTGCTCAGTTCCTTTTCTTCTGTGACAGGAAACACAGCTGAATGCAATTCTATCCAACAATTACACACACAGAAAATTATCTCTAAAGGAGATGGGGGAAATGGCTTCACTGGATAATTTCATTCTTACCTGCAATGTGCTGATATGAACAGGAGTCCCCGTGCCATTCACAGTATTCTTTTTAGCTGCATTTCCACCTTTTCCATCAGCTTGCTCAGCCTTAGCAATTCTGGCTTTTTCTGCTTCAACTCTTTTGGGGTTGTTCAACATCACCTGGACAACGGCGTACTCCACCAGAGAAGCAAACCCAAAGAGAAGACAAGCAATGAGCCAAACGTCAAGAGCTTTCACGTAGGACACTTTGGGAAGCTCAGCTGCAAGGGTTGTGCACTCAGAGGCCAAGCTGAGCACTGAGAAGATACCTAGAGAGACAGAAATAATAATTCATGTTGCTTTTTATTCCTGCAAAACCACCTGCCATCATTACTATTTGACTAATTCCCTCTCCAGCAATTTTCAATGGACCATGAACAATTCACTAGATCCACAGCTAAAAGATGAGAAAAATAATAGGTACACTTATTTTATGTGAGGGTTATTTGCTACTATTGAGGATGTTGGAAAACACTTTTTAAAAATCAAGCACAATTTTAAAGATTTATTTATTTGAAATAATTACAAACAGACACACACACAGAGGGAGAGAGGGAGAGGGTGAGAGAGAGAGAGAGAAAAGAGAGATAGAGAGAGAGAATATTCCATCTGCTGGTTCACTCTCCAAATGGCAGCAATGGCCAGTGCTGGGCCAAGCCAAAGCCAGGAATAAGGAGCTTCTTCCAGATCTCTCACATGGGTGTCAGGGCCCAAGCACCTGGGCCATCCTCCACTGCTTTTTCAGGTACATTAGCAGGGAGTTGGATCAGAAGTGGAGAAGCCACGAGTCGAACTGGCCCACCTCAAACAGAAATTTAAACCAAAGTGTAAAAACATAATTTGAATCTGATATAAACATAAAACAATCTAAATAACTCTAAGGAAGCCACAGAGGTCTCTAATTAGACCAGATAATTTCATTTTCAGCATTGTTTTAGACTGCCTTCACTTGGATTCTGAATTTAAACCCAAGAATAACTATATCAGAATAGGAAAACAACTTATGAAACAATTTCTGATAAGATTCACAATTTTAAAAATCTAATTGAGAAGATAAGATACAGAACATTCCTGAATATTTAAGAGAAGATAAATGATTGCAACTTTTCTATGAAATCAGAAAAATTCTGCCACATGTAATATTTACTATATGTGGAAAACTAATACTATATACTCATATATTAAAGTGCCTATCAAATTACAAAGAATTGGAACAAGTGGTCTCGCTCTTGTCCCATTTGTTATCTCCTCTCCCTCTACCTCTTTCTTTCTCTCTCCTTCCGTCATCTTTTCAGGAGAGGGGACTATGAAGCATGACTTGGTGGCACTCGCTGCTAATAGCACACTGAGTCAGAAAGAATCTCATCTGATGTCAACAGATGTCAAGAGGGGAACAGATTTGACATAGCTCTGTGTGTTTCACTCATTAGATCTGCCTCTGAGAATTCATGTATTACACTAATAATTAAGGGTAAAATTGGCTCTCTTTTCCCTTCCTTTGAAACAGTAAGCACCATATTAGTGTCAGTAGTCAGTGAAAACACTGAAAGAACCTATTCTATCAATTATATGATTTGAGAAGCTTCTGAAAGGCATTAAGTTCTTGTAAGTGTTCAAGAGCCTGAGATATTCTCTCTACTAGGAAGGAAATCTCCCAGCAAAATACAATGATTTCTTCAGGAAGAAATAATATTACATGTATAATGACTTTATAAACATCAATTTATTGTTATTGTAATTGTAATTGTATAATATTGTATAATAATACCTGAGGAAAACTATGAACTAATCAATAATGCTCTACTTTCCAACTTAATATTGGTTAATATAGTAGTTTCTAAACTGGAAGTGGGATGTCACATGAAAATCCAAAATCTTATCAGTTATTGCCCTAAGCTATAGTTAATTATACCCATAACCATTAATTTGGCAAACCATTTTCCAAGTCAACTTTTATATGCTTTGCCAAATGTTATGCATCAACCTATCAACCAGAAATAATGTCTGCTTAATTAATTCCTTGGTATAGACTGTACCAATACTTTTTTCTGTGTTTCCATAGCATTTCATACCTGTCAATGACCTAGAATGTACTGCATTCTAGTAAACTTAAAATCAAGGACACTGCTGTTGCATTTTCCATTTCTAATCTTTTTTTTTAACTACTAGCCATTTTCCATTCAAGATAAACATGCTATAATTTTATCTATCTTAAATGACAGAAACAAATATCCTCTCAAGTTCCGTTCCCATCCTCACTGCTCCTCCACACTTTCTCTTTTAACAGCTAATCATATCCAGTGGGCTGTTCATTCTGAGTATCTCTACTTTCTCACCTTGTCTTCTCTCTTGAAGCCATTCCTGTCAGATTTTCCTCTTTTCTTTACCTCATGGAAACTGTAGTTGTCAAGAACACCAGTGACTTTCCCAGCTTGCTTAATCCAATGGCAATCATTAGTCCTGAACATACTTGACCACTGAGCAGTGGGTTGATCACGATACCATCTTGAAACATTATCTCTACATCTAGGAATTCACACCACCCTGGTTGTTTCTCCTTGCCTCCGCCCCTCTCAGAAGCAGACTTCTCCTCTACCTTCACTCATTCTGTGATTTCATTCTGTTTCGTTATTCTGAAGGTTGTCTACATTGTGATGAATCTTAAATTCTGACTCTTGCCTTGGGGGCTTGAAAGTCCCAAACCTGTATACCCAATGAGGTCTCTCATTCCCCTACCTAACAGACATCTCAAATTCAACATATCTAAAACAAAACTCCTGGTCAAACTCACCTTAATTGCAGCTTTCCTTCTCCCAGTTAATGTCAATTTCATATTTATAGTTTTTCAGCCAAAAAAAAAAACCCTCAAGTTCACCTTTGATTCTATTTCCTTAAATCCCATGTGTAACACATTTACAAATATCTTTTATTGCTGCTATCCATCTCCTACTATTTACCAGCACCTGCACAACTACCTCTGGCTATGTGATTATTTACCTGAATTATTGCAATAACCTCATAACTGCTGGTCTTACTTCCACCTCTGCCCCATGTCCATTTCTTCTTAATAAAGTGAGATCTGATGCTAATTTCAGTTCAGATCATGCTCAAAAGCTTTCAGTGCCTTTATCTTTTACTCTGAACAAAAGCCAAACCATGAGAATGCCTTACAAGGTGCCACGTGGCTCAGTCCTCATCACTGTTATCTTTCCGACCCATCTTTTACTACCCGCCTTCTACTTCAATTTACTCCAGCCATTCTGGCCTACTCAGTGTCCCGCAGCCATGATCCTGTCTTAGGATGCTGCCCTTGATGATCACTATCCAGGCTCTCGCTCTTCACAGCCCTATGACTCCTTTCTTCACCTCCTCCAATTCTTTATCTAATATCACTTCTCTCATTGAGATCTTCTCAGACAAGCAGGGAGCTGCCCCCAAACTCACTATCTCTATATCAGCATATTGTATGTTACACAGTACATTCTTGGGTGTTTGTTTCTTCCAAGGAGAATACAAACTCATGGAAGCTAACTACATTGCTCTCTTAATGACTTGTGACTACCGTATGGTCAATACACATTTTTTGTGTATTTTTTTACTTGCTGGATGACTCAAAATACTATATGTGAAAGTGCCTTGCAAACTTTTCACCAATATATAAAAGTGGCATACTAACAAATCTGCAATGTGTAACATGGGCTTTACAGTCATTTTCTCAATCCTTCCACTATCCCTTTGAGTATTTTCATCATCAGTAGAAGTGTTTGAAGAGGTTAGGATTGTCACAATCAGTAAGCAAAGGCCTGGAATTCAAACCCAGGTTTGAATCTAGAGACTGACTTTAAGTTATTAACCATTTAGGCCCTCATACAACAGGTCCCCTGGATGTTAAGTGACAGCTGAGAGCCCTTACAGCAGAAGCTACGCAGTGAATTGGCATTAACAGAGAAAACTCCTTTTGAAACGAAGCCCATATCCTTCCTAATGGCTTTCACATACAATTAACAGGCCTTGGTTTTTCTTAGCTTGCAGTTCCTCTGTCTTCACTTGATTATGAGTCAACTCCTTACTAAAGAGTAACTCACTAAATTAAGAGAATGGCCCAAGGGTCATGTTGATCTTGCAAAGCTCTAGTCCACAAGATTCAGGATTCAATAATCATGTCAGTGGTTAACACCCTAACACTAGGATCTATCCTGAGATGTTTCACAGGAACACCAGACCTTGATCAAACAAAGTGGTAATCATTCTATCCATAGAAGCCAGACAGAACATACATAGAAAGTAGTCTTGCTTATTTCCTGAGACATAATTTTCAAAGGACTGGCTTATTGTGTTTTGTATCTCAGAGCATTAAAAACAACAAATTAGAGGGCTTGGGCACTCAAGGAAGAGAAAATAGGTCTTTGTCCAAGCACATCTGATGACATTGCACAGAATAATTTTCTGGACAATGATGTGAGGTCATTTTTAAATTTATTTTTATTTGAAAAAGATTTATTTATTTGAATATTGGAGTTACAGAGAGAGAAGGAGAGACATAGAGAGAGATCTTCTATCTGCTGCTTCACAACCCAAGTGGCCACAATGACTGGGGCTGGGCCAGGCTGAAGCCAGGAGCCAGGAACTTCTTCAAGTCTCCCAGGTGGGTGCAGGGCCCAGACACTTAGGTCATCTTCCACTGCATTTCCTAGGTCATTAGCAGGAAGTTGGATTGGAAGTGAAGCAGTTGGGACATGAACTTCTACCCGTACTGGATGCTAGTGTTAAAGATGGCGGCTTTACTCACTATACCACAACACAGCCTCCAAGTCATTCTTCAAAGGATAAACTATTTCACCACTCTCTAAGAGTAATAAGAAGATGGAGTAGTATATGCTATTTCTAGGAGACATAGCTATTTGTTTTTGACTCTAGAACTTTGGGTTTAAGACTAGTTATCTGTGACAGTTACTTACTAATCATTATCTTAACACAGAAAAAGGTAGAATAGATTAACTGCTTAAAATACTCCAAAAACACAAAAGGAAAAACCTAGCTTAATTATAGGGCACATAAACATTGAAAAAAAATCTAGTTTGATAACAAGTTTTGAAGGCAGCCTAAAACTGAAATGAAATAGGTTGATTCCAAAACTCATTGCTTCAAAGCAGGTGAGTCTATGCTTAGTGGTGTGAAGATTTATATTTTCCTGACACCAGAGAGAAGCACGGGACTCCTTACCCAGGGGCACTCTGGCAGCACTGGCATCCGGGTTGATCCAGAAGGACAGCCAGGAGAGGACCACAATCAGCAAGGTGGGGGCGTAGACGCCCATCATGTAGAACCCGACCTGCCTCCTCAGGGTGAAGATCACTTCCACACACGTGTAGTAGCCTTTCAGAAACAAACCCAGGCAAGGTATGAGGTTCTCACCCACACACAACTGCGAACATCAATCCTGCACCGCACAAGAGAAGCCCCTTCTATTTGAGGCAATTCCACAAAGCGGACTCCACAGACAACGTTTTCCTTTCAGCTATATATAAAATTGATGTGATGTGAATAGGGTGACATTATAGAACCTGTTTCACCCGACTTTTCACAACTTCATCATGACACTGAGAAATATATCCCACCTGCTGCTCCACCATGCCACTGTCTGGGGCTTTTAAGTGGCTATGCACAGAATTTTCAATGGAGTCAAACTTTTCCTTACCCATTGGGGCTGTCAGAAGAAAGGATCTAAAGGAACCATAGGATGAGCACTAAATCAAAGTAGGGCAGGTCTACAAAAAAAAACGCTCCTGAACCATACATTGTCAAGCATTTTTTCTGTCACATACACCACTTATTTTACAGAAAAGTAGCAGTTTCCTACACTAAGTCCTGTGCAAAGTTAAACCTTAAAAATGCAAGAAAGTACTGGAAGTTAATATGAGCATAAATAAGAAATCACTGTTTCAAACCTATATACATAAAAGATTACAATGTGAACACATCTGATATTTCTCTCAATTCCTTCCCTTCTTCCACTCTAGGCCCTCAACTGTTCCCCAGGTCCTTTCCCTAAAGGACTTCCACCTTTTCCATCCTGACACACATGCAGGCACTGCTTTACAACATAATTCTGCAACTGGTATGACAACAACTAGTCCTCTAAAATAATCACAAATTTTAGGCAGCTTTCAAAATAGCTCGTAGCACATTCAGAACGAAAACTAGTGGTAGAAAAGCACTCCATTCAAGTGAAAGAGACGTGTCCAGACGTTCAAGATTATTTTTTACGTGTTTTGTACCTTTCAATTAGGAATGTAAATATAATATCAAATGCATATGTTGCTTAATTTAGAATAGAATGTCATTTTTTGGTTGAGACAAGATTATGAGTGAATGCCAAAACCTATTTTCAGTTTAAACTGTAAAAAGTTATTTTTAAAATTTGAAATGAATAAATAACCAATGAATAAATGAAACAATTATGGGGGAAAGGATGTGCTATCTTTTACCACCTGACACTTATGCAAAATATGCAGACTGCCTAACTGGGAAGAATATACACGCTAGAAAAATCTGTACACTTACTCATTAATTATACCTAGAGAAACACTTGTACATAACTGGGTTATAATACATGTTTAACTTTAAAATGGCCATTTAAATCCTATTAACAAATAATTAAAGTAGAAATCTATCTTTTTTCCAATATGAATTATAATCACTGCTGCCTCTGATAGACTGGAAAGATGGCAGAGCTTTATGTAATAAAATAGTTGATTAGTAAAGTGAAGTAAATTCTAATTATGTCACATGCTTCCACATGATATCAAAAACAAATACAGAATATTTCATTTTTAATTTTAATTCCATTAAAACTAGGCTACATTTTAATATTATATACAGTTGTTTTAAAAAAAATGAGACAAACCTATGAAGGATTGCTTCCCATTTTCTGTTCCTCCCCATTCATCTTAGCTTGTTACCTATGTTTCTAACTCAAAATTAGGTGCATTATTTCAAAACTATAAGTTTTTGTAAGTGCACTTACTGCAATTAAGAAGGCTTTCAGTTTTCCTTAAAAGTGGTTCTGAAGTACCTCTCTTTGTTGAGAGCCTCGCTTATTCAAGTAGGTTTTATATGCACCCTGTGCATACGAAATGGAGAGTGACACACATGTGCTTCTCCATATTATGCCAATTACTGCAAAGTAGTGCACTTTAAAATGAAATTCTGCCTGCCTCCCAACCACGTTTAAATGGCAGCCTAAATGACCTATGTCCTGGATCTTGAGGCCAGTCTCCGCTCCGTCCCTTTTAAGGAAAGTTCCCACTAGGGAGGTGAAAGGAGATGTGGATGCATTCAGCAGCAAAATGCATGCTTGGATATTACAGTGATTTGCTCCATAAACTTTTATGAGAAACATTTCTTGATCTTTTTTGATCTTTTCTTAGTACTGTTACATTTATGAGGGGCAGGTGGGCAACTAATTGATATAAATGTTCAGTGAACAAATTCAATTTAGTTTCTATTTCCTGTGAGGTTTTATTTCATTATTCACCCAGGCTTCTAAATTAAATATTTTTGTATACTTGTTTCAGATATATTTCTCTACCTTTGTTATTTCTACCATCATAGAAAGGCATATTTTTAAAGTTAAACCTGTCATTATTCTCATATAAATTGAAGAAAATACTCATCATCCTTTTATATTTCTTGTTCTCTTATGCCTTCCCACAATTCTACACCATTAAGCATTCCATATATTTTCAATGTCTGGTTTTCCTAAATATATTTCTAATGATCAAAACCCTAAAATATGTTTTACTTATATTAATATGATGAATCAGGTAAATGCTGATAAAGTACCTGAAACATAGCAAGTGCCAAAAAGGTATGTCAGTTATAAGGGGTTTTCTGGCTGCTATTTTCTGTAGCTAATGAGATTTGGATGGTTTATTTGTGATAACTCAAAAAATATCACAAAAGCTTTATTTACATCTCTTGACTAAATCCTCACATGCTCTACATTCTGGTACGATTTCTGATTTCCTTCTAGGTCCTAGATGGAATTCTATTTACTTTCCTGACTGGTTTATCGCCTTTGAATGTGCCTCCATAAGCATCAAGTCCCTCTCTTCTATTGACTGCTGAGTCCCCAAACTGACAATGTACAAAGTAGAGTTTAAAGTGAAAAAATGGGCACCCTCAGGATTTCCAATGTTGTTACATCTTTTAAAAAGGTTTATTTATTTGAAATTCAGAGTTACAGTGAGAGAGAGAGAGATGGAGATCTTCAATCCACTGGTTCACTCCCCAGATGGCCTCCTGTGCGTGGCAGGGTTCCTAACACTTAGGCAATCTTCCATTTCTTTTTCCAGGGCATTAGCAGGAAGCTGGATCAGGAGTGGAGCAGCCGGGACACTAACTAGCACCCATCTGGAATGCTGAAGTCACAGGAGGCGGCTTTACCCTGTGGCCACAACACTGGCCCCGTATGTCATTATTTAGTTTAATATTAATACATAAAATTGCAGATAAACTGTTAGTTATGTTTTCATCTTTAAATGAAACTTAAAAATTTTCAAAGAATAATAGGAGACTCCACTGGTAGTTTAACAATATCGGATTCATTATCCCAGTGCATCATTTAATAAGTGTGTATCTTTTAGAAAGTGTCATTTCATCATTAGCTCAATGTGTAAAATGGAGAAATTAAAGTATTTAACACATGGAATTGTGAAGATCCAATTATATAATTTCTATAAGTGTTTAAAACAGACTAGTAGAACTCAAAAAACTATCTGCTAAGTATATGTTCCTATAAAACTGTCTCAAAAAGGTTTTTCTTAGATTACAAGATTTTTTTATTGCTAGATTAGTTGCAAAGGTTCCTAAAAAAATGATAGTCTTCTTAATCTGAAGCAGAAGTAGAAGAAGGAATCCTACACTTCTGTCTGACACTAATTTCCATGGTGACATTTACTGAATCATTCAGCCATCCTGCTCTCTCTTATTTTACATGGCAAACAAAGGAGCTGGCTCAGAAACATCAGTAAGATTCCTTTCAGTCTAACTATCTGTGTAGTTACGACTGCTTTGTTGATGGCTTTGATGATCAAGTTTTGAGAACTCTTATAAAACTTGATAATTATTTAGTAATGTATTTGATTATCACCTCTCGTCTTAAAGCACAACAGGCTCCATTTGAGACAAGACTATTTATATATAAATATAACTGCTAATGGATTTGAAATTCAGAAACAAATGAAACCTAACTGTATCCTCAAGATGTCTATTGTTGCCTGTTTATATGCAAATATTCATTTATTGCTTATCTTGATATCAAAAGGAATGTTTTAAATTATATTTTGCCCTTGGTGAGGTCATGATGGCAGCATCTGGCTCAAATATCTGATCTCTCGAAATTCTACAGAGTTGTACTCCATTCACTTTTATTATTGCAAGTCAACTTAAATGTTGCAATAAATTTAAACTTTAATTATATCTGTTCCTGGATACCATTTTAATGATTTATTTCTCCATATGTAAGTAGAATTGGACCATAAATTACAAGTCAGACTAGTATTACCAATGTAATAATCAAAATTCAATGATCTTTTTATTTATAATACTAAGTGAAATAACATTGTGTTCAATATTTTGAAACTTTGATAACATATATAGACTCCAAGGTTTAATGCTAATCATATTATGATAATATTGAGCAGTGAGCGCTGTAATTTTATCCAAAAGTTTGATATCCTTTAATGCAAGAGGTTAATTTGCTGTGCTTTTCATAGTAACTGTTCCATAACTAGGCCAAAAAGACTGCACAGAGAAGAGTTATGGACATCCAATTATTTCACACTCTCACTGCTTCCTGCATAGCATAAAGGTCAGTGCTTTTCAGACTTCACAGTGGGGGCCAACTACCAAGTGAAAACTGCCCAGGACAATGGATGAATATACACAGACTTCACTGTTGATATCCAAAGTGTTTAGTATCACACTGTATATAGCCAGTAGAAGAACCTCTTGACAACATCCAAGAAAACCATTCAAAGTCTGGGAAAGTTCACATTACTAAAATTAAAAAGTAGAAAACCTTTTTACTATTGGAATTAAACAAAGATAAGCATTTCTATCTAGGATTCAATAGTTAAAAAAAAAAGTGGATGAATGTTATTCTGTAAAAGGTTTAAACACACAAATGTGAAGATAAACGATGTATAATTAACTTTTTTTCTCATCTGTCTCCCTGTAATGTATATAAACATTAAGATGAATCTTTCAAATAGGACTTAGTTTTGTTTAATTTTAAGAGAAAATATTACTTACCAGTGCCTTTATAGTATTTCGTACAGTTACCATATTCAATGTCTTCCTTCTTAATATCAAATTGAGGCAAGGCAATTTTTTCTAACTGAACAGGATCTCCTGACTGCCAGATAAATCGCAAATCATCAGTTGTATAACCAACTATAAACAAAAATAAACAAAATATCAGTGTGGAATATAATCAATTATTTATGTTTTCTTATTATTTCTAAATACTAAACATAGCTAGGGTAAGAAAATAGAACCTTCTCATTTGGCACTGTAGTTAAGAAAGTAAAGAGGTAAAATCCATGGCCACTAATAACACTATTAGCATAACTGTTACAGATAAGCATCTTAAAGAAAAAGTTAAATAATCAGCATGCTGCAAATAACACTTAGAGCATCATGGACTGTAAATAATTCACCCTTGTGTGCTGTAACTCATCAATGACATTAACAAGTGATGCAGGATTTTGGAACCCTTGCATTTACAATCATACAAATTCTTATGTGGAATTATTTTAAGAAATGTAATTAGTGAAACAACTAATTTTTGAAGAAATCAATGTTGCATCACCACAGAGGATCAATAAAACAAGCTCTCAAATGGACATCACCACAACTTCAGTTCAAATCCTAAAGCACATGTGCTTGTCATAGACAATGTGGGTATAATCTAAGGGGGCTCTACACTGTAGCCTATCACCAAATTCTAAATTGCACATTTTAAAGCAATATATTATTGTATCCAGCAACAGAACTAAAACGTAATACACAGCTGGAATTTTGTATAAATACAGAAAGTCTTCAAAATTTCATGGAAAACACATTACAAATAAACTCTACATTGATTTCAAGAGTGTTTTGCAACCAAATAGAATCTTTTAATTCCCTTTTGAGGCCGGCACACCAGCTCACTAGGCTAATCCTCCACCTGGCGGCACCGGCACACCGGGTTCTAGTCCCGTCGGGGCGCCGGATTCTGTCCCGGTTGCCCCTCTTCCTGACCAGCTCTCTGCTGTGGCCAGGGAGTGCAGTGGAGGATGGCTCATGTGCTTGAGCCCTGCACCCCATGGGAGACCAGGATAAGTACCTGGCTCCTGCCATTGGATCAGCGCAGCGCGCCGGCCGCGGCAGCCATTGGAGGGTGAACCAACGGCAAAGGAAGACCTTTCTCTCTGTCTCTCTCTCTCACTGTCCATTCTGCCTGTCAAAAAAAAAAATTCCCTTTTGATGCACCCCAAAGCATACTCACACACACACACATAAACATATACATATATCCTGCATAAAACATATACATATATGCACTTACATGTGCAAAAATCTCATTTTATAATTAGAAAACAAAAAAATATTGTTCACACTTATTTTCCATCTTAGCACATTTTTTAAAAAAATAGCAAGTAACAATGAAATGAATTTAAGTATTCAGTCTAAAAAGTAGAGGCAGGAGATGTTATAAGGTTACTACTCCTCTTTACTCTGCAGAAATAGGCCATTCTACCCAGGCATGCCCGCAAAAAATCCCTATGTTAGTGGTTATTTTTAAAGGCATATGTTCTTTTATTTTAAGGGATAAGTATCAAAGCAATTCAGCATACATTATAGATTAATAACTGACTTCAATTAATAATCTAGTACATCTTTTACAAGCCAAAAAGCATATGATTCTAGAAATATAGAAAATCTAATTTTGTTAAAGATTCTTAAAATTGCTACACATTCCAAGAAATGAATGCCTTGTTGGTTTTACAGAATATTTTTGTTCCATATTTCTGCTTCTATAGAAATCTGGCTTTAGTATCTGGAAAGTAATTTAAGTTAGGTCATCATTTTCTCCTTTACTTCGTCTGTATTACTAGTTCAAACGAGGATGGCGACTGGAACAAGTTAGAAGCATACCCAACAGCAATTACTTTGAAATCAGACTAGTACAAAAAGGGTTTGCCTTTCTTAATAAAAATTAACATAATATAGGAATAACTATATGCTTCCTATGTAAATTCCTCTGAATATGTGCAATCAAAAGCATTAGTGTGGCCACTGTTACATAAGACACGAGTGGCATGCAATGCCTAGAAGTTCTGAACATGAGATCACGTGGTTTTATTTACGTACAGCTCTCCAGCTGCATCTTGCAGCGCTGGGTATCCATGGGAAACAATGTCAAGTCCAAAGGGCATGAAAGAGTAATAGATAACCTGGAAGTAAAAACAATGGTCTTAGAAATCATTTAAATATATCTGTCATCCAGTGATTGGAGAAGGAAAATATAAATGAATAAACATTAAACATATAAATATACCTCATGCTGACAAGGACATCTCCATCCCGAAAAATAAAGAGGAGGATATTTTCCTGGGTTACATCGTGAAAATTGGCACTTTTCTCATTTGCAAAGAATAAATCAGGTTTCCACAAACACTTGTACATCGTGGGATCCACTGTCAGTGCATCTGAGCCCCTGAAGTCACTAGGGAGCTTCAGCCTGGGGTCATTCCACTTCTGTCTCAGGAAGATGTTAACTCTGTAGTCCTGGAAAATAATACATGTGTGCCTGTGTGTGTTTGTTGCTATTTTTAACAACAACACCAAGATAAAAACAGATTCAGTGATTAGCAGCACAAACATTTTTGCTGTACCCAAACTAACCAGGAACATAACAGTAAATGAGGGTTTTGTCAGTAATTAATCCTCCACCTGCAGCGCTGGCATCCCACATAGGTGCCGGTTCTAGTCCGGCTGCTCCTCTTCCCATCCAGCTCTCTGTTATGGCCTGGGAAAGCAGTAGAAAACGGCTCAAGTACTTGGACCACTGCACCTGCATGGGAGACCTGGGAGAAGCTCCTGGCTCTTGGCTTCAGATTGGCACAGTTCTGGCTCTTGTGGCCATTTGGGGAGTGAACCAGTGGATGGAAGACCTTTCTCTCTGTCTCTCCTTCTCACTGTCTGTAACGCTACCTCTCAAATAAATAAATGAAATATTAAAAACAACAAAAACAACAAAACGACAACAACAAAAGCCAACAAAACTCTTGTTTCTTTTTCATTACTCTCTACATATATTCTATAGCATTTGCTATATAACTTAATTAATGATTGTTTTCCTTGTATGCAATTGCTTATTATTCCATTTAGTTACATGGTAGCATGAAAGCATGCTGGCAGACACTAGATACTACCATCGTCCTTACCCCAAAATTAGAATCATATTTAAGTAAGAATAAACAAAAAGCTAAAAGAAAGCATTTCATTTGTGTTTTACTAAGTATAAAACTATAAAAACAGTATGATTTTAAATATATACATACATATACACAGCTTCACAGAAGGAATGAGTTCTGAGAAATGCATCATTAGGTGATTTCCTCCTTGTGTAGAACACTACAGTGCATACTGACATCAATTAAGATGGTTACTATGTCACGTACTGATAAATCTTATGTCATATATGTACATTTTCCAACTTTGAAATGTTATATAGCACACAGTATATAAATATGAATAGCATCTCTATCTGTAGAAAGTTAAAAACTATTTGTGACTACTCGCACATGTAATGACTTGAGCCTCTTAGATAATTGAGTGATATTTGGAGTAGGTAAAACAGATGAAAATAAAAGGAAAAATTTGTAAATTTTATGTTATAGACACTCAACCACAATAGAGAGGTATTTTAAGTGCCATACATAATTGTTTTACTTCTCCATTAATTGTTTGCCTTTTTCCAACAATTTTAATCTTAGAACTCTGAAAAATCTAAATTATGCTAGCACATACAGATTCTAAGAATATATGAATGTGGGATGTTTAATACGTTAATGTATCTTATAATTTACAGTAAAAATAAGATTCTTTTAGCCACAGTTATTTGGGTAAACAGTAAAATTCAGAGTGAGGCATTCTTCTCAGGTCTTCCATTTTTTAATTTTTTATACTGAATTTTACATATATAATTTTTATATTTTTATATGTAATTTATATATAATGAACTCAGAATACACACAAAAATGATCAAGACATAAATAATATTGGGGTTTACCTTCTTTATTTGAAATAACCCAAAATCCACATAATACTATTCATTCAAAGCCTTTTGACATGACCAAAATAAATTGAATCATAAACTTCAAATCAAAATCCAAATAACTAAATGAGAAGAAATCATAGATCATCTTTTATTAAGTAACTCCCAATACATTTCTATGGGGCATAAATGCATTGCTTTATATATTTATAAAATATAAGATATGAGCAGTTACCCTAAAAATATTGGAAATTTATTCCTTCTCTTAGATGATTTCATTTTTATATTCACATTCTGTAGAGCAGTTGGAGAAAGGCAATGCCCAAAGTGACCACATCAATATACTGAACTACTAGATGGGACATAAGATTTAATATGCCTACATCTTAGAGATATTCTGAACTTGTTTATAAAAACTTCAACATGTGATATAAAGTAATCCTTAAAAATGATTTGCAGGTGGTTTTGCAGCATAAAGTCAAATAAGTTAATGATTCTATAAACCAACACTGAATGCACCTGCCATCTCAGCAGCACCACGGAAAGTTAACAGTTAACATTTTTCTAACTAGATGAACATGGGCTCAGGAGTAAAGGAAGCCTAAAGCCCAAAATACGAAGACCTGCATTGCACAGCTATATGAAATTTTTGATGATATATACACGTATCTGAACATTCATAGTGGGACTTAATGAAGTGATTGCTTAATATCTGTCAGTGACTGTGAGATATACAAAACCTAAGCTTGTCCAAGGGATAGTCCCCTCTATTGTACATGAAAAGGTTTCCAGCCGATGCAGTATTGCTTCTTTTTTGTCCATCCCATGCAGGCAGGCATAGTCCTCCAGTTAAGAAAAAATAACCATGAAGCTCAAGCATTTTCCAAAAAAGTATGATACACTACCTTAGCTAAAAGCACATGGCTGACAGGCTTCTGACGTCACTTTGAGCACTCATCGTTTATTCAATTAAAAGTTGTTACAATGTTCCTTGAAATGATCTGCCATAGTAATGGTATTCCACAATTTTATACACTAAGAATTATTTTATTTGAGTCTCAGAGTTCTGTGTTTTATCAAGGTAATTCTACCTTGATAGATAGTAAGTCTACTTGATAGATAGTCTACCTTGAAGATGTAAGAAACAACATCTTCCAAATGATGTATTTAAAATATGCATTCACAATATTGTAACAGATCCTACGTCTTTAAGCTTTCATCAAAAAAAGCTTTCATCATTATAAGGAATAACCAGATGATGTCGTTGATGTTTCTTAGCTGTTAATTCTACGGGTCCTTATTTTGGTCAGTGTCTCTTGTATGACAATACACAAGGGGAATTCTTATTGATCAGATATTTCATTTGTTTATACATACATCACAGACAATCTATAAATTTACTAAGTGCTAGTAGGTAAGTAAGTAAGTGCTTTACAAAAGCATATCTAATGTTCAGATTCTACACTTTGAAAACACACTCCTGATACCCTCACATGCTTCCTATTACTGGAAAAATAAGACCCAAAAATATATCATACTTTTCTTTTTGTCTGACAGCTAGGGGAACTGCAAGTTAACCCTATACTTAACCGCATTAACAGTTTATCTCACCCTCACGCAGCTGCTGTTTGTCTCTGGCACATGTGGTCCCGTTTCAGTTATTTCACTGCCGTTGTTGTGTACACCTGAGCTCCTCTCCAGACGCAGGACTGGGTGACATGTCTAACGGCTCAGAGATCACCTGGCGCTTGAAGAGTCTCAGCACTGCCCGAGTGCAGTTCCCAAGCAACTTCGGCAACACGGCTTCCAGAACTAAGACACTTTATTTTACCCTATTAGATTTTCTTATTTTAATAGAATGTTAGGTATAGTATAGAAAGAGATGTAGATAGTAAGATTTCAGGGGGGGCGGCACTGTGGTGTAGCAAGCAAAGCCGCTGCCTGCAGTGCTGGCATCCCCATATGGGCACCGGTTCGAGACCTGGCTGCTCCACTTCCGATCCAGCTCTCTGCTATGGCCTGGGAAAGCAGCAGAAGATGGCCCAAGCCCTTGGGCCCCTGCACCCGCATGGGAATACCTGGAGGAAGCTCCTGGCTCCTGGCTTTTGGATTGGTGCAGCTCTGGCAGTTGCAGCCATCTGGGGAGTGAACCAGCGGATGGGAAACCTCTCTCTCTCTCTCTCTCTGCCTCTCCTTCTCTCTCTGTGTAACTCTGACTTTCAAAGTAAATAAATAAATCTTAAAAAAAAAGATTTCAGGGGTGGGTGTTGAGGGTTAAGCCGCTGCTTGGGATACCTGCATCCCATATGGGAGTGCTGGTTTGAGTCCTAGTTTCTCTATTTCCCATCCAGCTTCTTGCTAATGTGTCTAGGAAGGCATCAGATGACTGCCCAATTATGGGCCTCTGCCATTCATGTAGGAGACCCAGTTTGAGTCCCTGGCTCCTGGATTTGGCCTGGCATAGCCCTAGCTATTGCACGCGTTTTTTCTAAGACTTATTTATTTGAGAGGCAGAGTTATAAAACACAGAGAGAGGTCTTCCATCTGCCGATTCACTCACCAAATGGCCACAAAGGCCAGAGCTGGGTCAAATCAAAGCCAGAAGCCAGGAGCTTCTTCCGGGTCTCCCACGTGGGTGCAGGGGCCCGAGCACTAGGGCCATCTTCTGTTGCTTTCCCAAGCCATTAACAGGCAGCAGGATCAGAAGTGGAGCAGCCAGATCTCGAATGGGCATGCCCAAAGGGGATGTGGACGTGGGCACTGTAGGCCAAGGCTTAACTTATTATGCCACAGCACCAGCCACTGTTATATTCATTTGAGGAGTGAATCCTCAGACGAAGTCTCTCTCTCTCTCTCTCTCTCTCTCTCTCTTTCATACACTCTCTCCCTCTCTCTCTCATCTCTGTCACACTGCTTTTCAAATATTTGAAAGGCAGTTACAGAAAGGGAGAGGGAGAGAGGGAGAGAGGGAGAGAATGAGAGAGACATAGAGAGAGAGAGAGAAAGAAAGTCTTCTATCTGCTGGTTCACTTCCAAAATGTCCATAATGGCTGGAGCTGGGCCGATCCAAAGCCAGGAGCCAAGAGCTTCCTCCATGTCTCCCACGTGGGTGCAGGGGCCATCTTGTACTGCCCTCCCAGGCCACAGCAGAGAGCTGGATCAGAAATGGAGCAGCCAGGACTCAAACTGGTGCCAATATGGGATGTTGGCACTGAAGGCAGTGGCTTTACCCACTTGCTTCATTAATCTTTTTTATAAAAGGATCTCATTTTATTTATCTGGTCCAAAACAGCAAACTTTTGGAATGTATGTTAGTTTTGCTTCTCAGTAATTAGCTTCTAAAGACACAGTAGTATTTTATAACATTCAGTATTATCTGACAATGATTATAGAAATGCTAAATATAAATAAACTTTAGCATAATTAAAAAATAAGCCAGCCAGCAATTTTGGATGGAAGTTCAGAAATTAAATCTGCCTTATATAAAATTCCCTTTAAGTTTCCACAT